AATTAGGTCTGCAGAGTCGGGATTCACGTAGCATAAAGTATGCCGAACCGTAACTCAAAGCAAAGACGAAGGGCCACGTATCTGTGTAAAGGGGATTCAGTATTACCACGCGCTTTACCCCTGCTCTACAATATCTTTCTTTGCCTTTTTGCGGGAAGCTATTTGCGCAAATTTTATTTTTGCGTGAGAGCGTTCTGCCTCACCTTGAACTCTTTTATTTGCGCAAGCATCTGAAAATGCCAAAAGGATCCGTAGGAAAACTGTTGGAGATTAATGGGGCGTGCTCGAGGCGAGAGGCTAGCGATGAGAAAATGAAAGTCAAGTCGGTGCATTTTGTACCGTGGTGAATTGCAAAATTTTTATTTTATCGTGTGTAAAAATTTGAAAGGTATGATTAGAAATAGGATGCTTAGAAGTTATATACAAACTAGTTAGACATAGTACCATTAGACTTAGAAATACGAAAACATCTGAACCCGGGGCTCATCGGTTTGGATTTTTGAGATGTTAGTTGACTAGTTTTTAATTTTCTTTAAATTTGGGTTTCTATGTACGAGCCACTTCAGTTGGCCCACTTCAAGATTTGTACCAAAATATGCATTTATAAACTAAACATGACGAAACTATTTACTTCTAAAACAATTTATTTTCTCAAAAACATTTTAGATACACACTAGTCGTAAAAATAGATATTTGAAATCACTTAGACCTATAACTAATAGAACATCTGAACAAATAAACAATGTGCGAATAAATGCGCAAAGTTAGCAAAGCAACAATTGAAAGATTGCCATTGAGTAACATGACCTTCATTTTTTATTACGGCTGACATTCTTTGAGGCATAGTGTTAACCAAGTTTTGGCAAACATTTGGTGATTGTCCGAGCAGGATGTTGTCGTAGAACCTTTTTCATCTCGTGCCACAAAGTTTCAATAGGTGACAGATCTGGACTGCTAGAAACCCATTTCAAAAGTGGTATATTATTTTCTTCCATCCATTTTATAGCCTTTTTTGAGGTACGGCACGCTGGACCATCTTGCTGACACACAAAATCTTTGCCGGATGTCAAAAACATTCTTCCATCACTGATAAAAGCGATTCTTCTAAAATTGCCATTTATTTGTTTGTATCCACATTTCCATTAATAAAATGAAGTTTTCCTACTCCTTTTGATGACATACTGCTCCACTTTTCTCTTCAGATAGTCAACATGGAATGCTTCATTTTTTTGCGAATAACTCTACTGCGACTGTCACCAACACAAACTTCGAATCGGGCCTCATCACTCCATTATATTGCACACCATTGTTGAGAGGTGTCCATTGTCTATGTTCTTTAGTCCATCTAAGCCGATTTTTCTTTTGCAGTGGAGTTAATAGGGGCTTTTCTTTGGGCTATAAACAAGTTGTGCAACTTTAGGGTTTTTACTTCACTTTTTTTTATAAGAAAACTTACCTTGCAAGTGCTAAATCCCAGTTTGTGGGCCTCTCTATGAGTTGTGGACCTCGGTTGATATGCTTTAAATGCAACATGTGTTATTTTTATGCTGCAAATTTGATTAGGGAGTGATAAAGTTGGTGTTTTCTACTATATATTACCAAAATATTCATTGTTAATATTTTAAACCTATAAAAGCTACTACACACAAGCCGGCGGCAATGCCGCCGGGTTTATGCCGAGCGGCTATGCCGTCGGCAATACAAGCCGCCGGCATAAGCCGCGCAAAGCCGCCAAGCATCATTCCGGTTGTGACAGTCACATAGAACGCTAGTGAAGTGCATATTTTATGGTTGGTTGGTTAAAATGAATAAGGAAATCATCAGCACAGCCGCCGCAGTTGTAATTTTTATTTTAGTAGGAAAAAAATACAAAAGGACGAGAAGGTTTTGGTTGCACCCAAGTTTACAAAATAGAAAATGGCGGAACGGTACTGTAATGATAGAAGAGTATAAAAAAGATGATGTGGGGTGTCAGCGTTTGCGCAATAGCATGTTTTTTGGGTTTCTGTACATCGTCTATGCCTGCACCAAATTTGTGCAATTGTTCGAACGTCTTTTTTTCCCGAAAATAATACAAGTTTACATTTTTTAACTTTCTCTCTACTTCGCCTTTATCAATGTCAAATACACTTGCAATTATGTTCAATGCGTCCATTCGATTGTTCCTATTCTTATAGTCGGGATTTCTGGGATCCCATAATATATCATTTTCATGAAATTTTTCAATTAAGAGCAGCACAGCTTCGTCGTCCCAATTAAACGACATTTTAATTTGTTTAAACACACAAACCGCACAAGCCTTTACACTCTGCTACATTTTTATTATTTGTGTTTGATAAGAAAAAAACTAAGATTTCAATAGTTGGGAAAACTGAAGTGGGAAGAGGCTCTTATAAGAATATGTTACCGGCAATCTGTATAATCCGGTATTTTATACAATACCTAAGTAATGTATAGAAAGCTAAACCGTGTAGGTAATGTATGAAATATTTGTTTTATACTTTGCCTAGGTATTCTATACAATACCAAATGCGCAGCCGGTAATGTATGTAAAAGACGAGAGCAAGGAACGGGTTGTACGTACCGGCAGGCAGGCAATAAGCGAAATGCGTCCTTGTAAGCAAAGAAATTATGTTACTTATAGCTAGAATAATTTTTAGTTTCACATCAATTTTACTGTAGTAACAGAAAGGTGCTTTTCTTGTACTCTTTTCATAAAGCTTATTTTCAGGAAGCACTCTTATTTCATTTGCCCGTCATTTTATAGGTATGCCTGTTAACATTGATAAATTTAGACCGAGATCTATTTATTTTACGCATTGTCGGTGGAACTGCAGGTACTCTATACAATCACTAGGAAGTTTATTCATTACCTAGGTAAAGTATGTAATGGACAATAGTATTCATAATACATATTTCATAGATTGCCTGGACAACCCACCTATATATTGCCTAGGTTTTGTATAGAGTACCTGAATTGTACAGATTACCGGTAACATATATACGTTTATAATATATCATCTAGTAGATTTAATTAAATTTAACAAAACGTTCATTTGCACCTATGTATTTCACGACGTCGTTACCAAATAAAATCTACTGTTCTTGCTAAATCATATTTACTACTACTATACAAATACATATCGTCGCCTTTCTCTCGAAGTGTCCTAACTGACAAAATGCCAAAAATTGAGATAACCAGCATATAGGTGTATTATTCCATGCTGGTTAATTTGACGAAGAGGCATAACTACATATCTATTAGTGTAGGCAACAGACCATTAACCCCTGGGTGTCTTATCTGCAGAGGTAAATATATAATTCCCACGAAGAGACCAAACTGAAGATAGGTCTCTTAGTGTGCAATAATCCTTGTTACTATACGCACCCCGGTGGTCGAATACTGGTCAAAGTGAGGGAGACTCTGCCCACAGTGCAATTCATACTGCGATAAAGGGAGCTGGAGATCTTTTTGAACCTTGACAACTCTATCCGGTTTCTCGGTTGGCCAGCAAAACGTCAACCTTATTTAGCAATCCCAATAAATTTTTTGACTGCAAGAAACTTCCAAAAGATTTAAGAATGTTGTCCACACGGCAAACTGATAAAGGGCAAAATACTAAATGGAGTTTATGGTAAGAAAAGACATACTCACCAAAATATTCTTCAAGTCTAGTTATGACAGTATTGAATTACAAAGACTGATGAAAAATAGTAATAATATAAATGATATTAAGCTAGAACAACGTAAAAATAACAACAAAAACAAAAAAGAAGTACTTCGATTTAATTTCCTTATGTGAAAATCCAACACCAGTTGTACGCTCACCAGAATTCCAAAACTATTTTAGAAATTTGCCCCATGAAACGGAATGAATTTTTAATAATTTTGCCTTTTTTGTGTATCATAATACATCAACATTAGCTTGTAATATGTCAAAAGATAATGTTTAAGTTAGTTGCTTTTCTTTTAGTTTTTATTTCAATAAAAATTGCTTTGACGATTCGAGTTGTATTCTTCAGTTCATCACCTAATAGTTGTGTCATAATCTACATCAATTTTAGGCATGGACATTGAGGGACATTTTTTAGAGAAAAGCTAAAATTCAAAGGTCGATCTGACCTTCTTTACATGAACTCTGCTGTAAGCAGAACAACGATTACTTAAAAAATACAAAAGTATAATAACAAGAACTTTAATAAAAATATGTTTTAGCTCTATCTGACAACGAGCTTCTGAAAATTCTCACGCAGTGACCTGTGTGCGTTTTCCAATTTTTTACAAAGTAACTTAATAAGCTACCGCAAGTATTGAAACAGCATATGATCGGCAATGAATATGGTATGATACAGTGAAATTTTCAATTCGGAAATATCTAAACTTTACATACAATGCTCAATCACCCACACGTCGATTTCGTTTTTTTGCTCTTCTGTAAAATTTACTAAACGTTGGTTAGGACACTTGGTGAGAAAGCAGACGATATGTATGTATACGACTTTCATAATCAAAATCTGCGTTTTCCATTCTATTTTGTGGGTCCCGATGAAGAAAACTAGACCGAATCAACATTTGACACTTTCTAGATAATTTCGGTGAGTTTCACAATTGGTTGATGTCTATAGCTAACAGACTAAACATTCTCCGCTCCTTGGACCATACCAATAGAGCAACCAGTTGCTTGCTTGGTTAAAATTCAAAATACGCAGTTAAAATTTAATAGCGCTCTGTGTCGAGTAATCGAGTTGACCATTTCCAGTACAAGACCATTAACGCCTAAACACGATTCACAGAGTTGCTTATAAATTAGTAAGTAATTCAAAAATATAAATATTAGAGGATTTGAACTTCAACATCCTGTATTACAGTAATGAAGCCGTAAAATACATAAGTTTGATTAGAGATGATGAATTATTGGAAATCAAAAGCGCTCAATGTTAAGAGGTAAATTTTTCATTGCTCAGCTAAAGGCCTTGCATTGAAAATCTCAAAAATTCTTTTAGTGATCTGGGATTGTGAGGCTCAAAGCATGAGCATTCTGATAGCTAGACTAATAGCAATAGGTGAAACATTATTTTGTACAGGTCCTCTCGAATCACGAGGGATGTCTTTCAAGTTTTGCATATGGAAATAAAACAGCACGGTAGGTATTTTTAAATGACTTTATTGTTTTTCGAAGTATTCTCCACCAAGACTAATGCACATCTGCATGCACTCGAACCAATTTTCGAAGCACTTATACGACTCGTTTGCTGGCAGATCCAAAACGGCATTTTTGAATGCGTCAACTGATTCTTCTGATGACTGGAACCTTTGACCACGCAGCCTGTTTTCAATTTTCGGGAAAGTAAAGAAATCGTTATGACTTAGATCGGGACTATAAGGAGGATGGTCCAATAATTCCACGTTTTCTTCCGTTGTTTTTTGGGCTGTGTGCGAGCTTGCATTGTCTTGGTGGAGGATGATTCTTCTTTCGGGGTTGATTTTTCGAAGCTCGGTGATGACTTTTGGCAAATAAATGGTGGTATACCATTCCGTAGTAACAGTTCTTTGCTCATTACGAGGAATTATTGCAATATGACCCGCTTTTGACACAAATATCGCGACCATCTTTTTCGAATCACTTCGAGAACGGATGACTTTTGTTGGCTTTTCTTCACCTTGGAACACCCAAACAGCCGACTATCGTTTATTTCCTGGTTCATAACAGTAAATCCACGATTCATCACCACTAACAATGCTGTACACATTTTTTGAGTTTCCGGAATTGAAAAGGTCAAGCGTTTTTTGACACCAATTAACCCTGGCTGCTTTCTGCTCTTCAGTCAACAGGTGGGGTATCCAACGAGAAACTAATTTTCTTACTCCTAATTCTTCATGTAGATTTTTTTGAATTGAGGTCTTTGAGATCTACAAGAACGCCTCAATCTCGCGATATGTCACATGTCTATCTTCAATGATGAGTTTGCGCACAGCATCGACGTTTTTCTGGGTCACTGCCGTTTTTGGTGCACCCACCCTATGTTCGTCGCTAAGACTCACCCGTCCACGTTTGAATTCTCCATGCCAATGGGAAATTGTCGCCTGATGTGGCGCTTCGTTGCCGAAAACAGACAGTAACTCAGCAAGGCATTCTTGTTGCGATAATTGTCTGTTCTCGGTCGAGTTCCATTTTTCTAATGACTTGGTGGCACTTAAAAACTCACTGTAGTGAGAACACTGCAGGTATTGTTGTGAAACTTCGAATTTAAGTTTACTAAAGAGTGAGGTTAACATTCAGTACTGACGTTCGATCCGCGCGGCCTACTATCTTTCTATATGCAACACTTAAAAGACATCCCTCGTAAAAACGTTTGATTGAAAGTCGAAAATCCACACTCGCTTTTTTGATAGTTTTTGATTGTGGCTGACGTTATTCAAGATAAGACACAAAAAATAAATATCAATACTACCACTTCTTCCCCTCTACAAGGTGGTGATAGATCCTTATTTCCTCACCTTCCATCTTCAACTTTACTTTTCGCAGACTTATACTCATTTGTCGACAAACTTTGAAGTGCATATTGTATCAAGATCGCGCAGTGATCTACAATTTCGATCAAATGCCGAAATGTTCTTATGTGTTTTACTTTATCAAAGTGCGGTGATACTTCAGCCTCTCATGCTTATCGTCTACGCTCGTTGAAATATTCTAGTACTCGATCCAGCAATCTGGTTTTGTACAGGTATACTAGCTGGTAAAGTTTCCTTTTCAGTACTTTTCAAAACGCTCGGTTCGAATTTTGGTTTCCTTGATATCTTTGCATTTTGTTATCTAGCGCTTAGTACTCACATGTTCTTAGTGGTACAGGCCTTCACCATAAATTCCTGTAGATCTTCCTTCAGGATGTTGTGTCCTGATACGCCTGTAACTACAGATAGTTGGTTTCTCCCCAACGAAAGCTCATTAGTGGTATATGTATACAGGGTGATCCTTAATGGTATGCGAATATTTAAGGGTGTGAATCTACGTAAAAAATTAATGTTAGTTTGCTTTATGAACTATTTTCCAAAAATGTTTCCTTACAAAAACTCGGGGTGTTGAAGTTTTAGGAAAAAAATGGAAATTAATTAATATTTTCAGAAACGCTTCAGATATTTCACTGATATTGAAAGGGATTTCAAGAAAAATTAGCTTCGTCCGTGAACAGAATCATAGATTCAAATTGCGAATTTTGTGTAATTTTTTGAAGATACCACCGACAACAGGTCGCACGCCTTGGAAAATCAATGCGAAGTAATGCCTGTACTCTTGAAATATGGTAAGGATATAACAAAAAATCCACTAAAATTCTCCAAACAATTTCATGGCAAATATTTAAGTGTCTAGCGATCTTCCACGTACTCGTTTCAGGATGTTCTTCGACTTCGTGCAGCACTGCTTCCTCAATTTCAGGTGTTCTCACACTTAGAGGTCTACCTTCAGATGTTCCTTTTCGGACAGAACCAGTTTCAACAAGACGACGATGAATATTAGAAGCGGTTCGAATATCTGGCAAAGCACGATCGGGATATCTCTGGTGATAAATCCATCTGGTTTGCTCACCATTACCGTCGGCAAGGCCATATCCGTAATGCATTTCTGCATTTGAATAATTCACCATTATTAACAAGATAGTAAGATCTAAATAATGACAAAGAGCGAACAGATTTGAATAACAGAGACTTGTCAGATGTCAAAAGCGAGTGACATATTCCAGAGTAACTGGATAGTTATTGCTAAATTGCATTTTTCAATTATTACATTAATTTTCGCGGACAATAGAACGGTTTTTATTTTTTTACTGCATCTCCTTGTAACCAACATTTTTGTCTTGTTTGGTATTAAAATTTCAGGTGGCCTCTAATAAAATGTTAGATGGTCGCTCCTGAAAGGCGCCGTCGTGCGCATTTCACAGATATATTCACTTGAAGGTTGCTTGAACAATTTGTGGAGCGTTGTCTTCTAGATGAAATGAAAAATTAAAAGGGCTGCCAGCTAAGCAGTTGAACTTTGTAATTGGATCTCTGAGGGGACTGTCGCGCTGAATTTGCGGAAGGAAGATAAAAAGTTGGAAGCGCGTCAGGTGTCTCTAATTTTCCCCTCGGGGCATGGCTCTCGCAATGAATCTTAGCAAAAATGTCAGAGAGACTCACGGAAGACTAGATAGATATGAACACGGATTGATTATCTGGCATCAGCTATTTGTTGCTGTCGAGCTTTCATTTTTTTGAAGTAATGTCATTGTTCACTGCCCTGAAACTCTAAACTATCGGAAATAGACCACTAAATGAAAAAATAGATTGTCTAGGTACTTTCCATTCATTTGCTTACGTCTATTTTTACCAATACACACAAACTGAAAATCTAGAGTGACCAGAAACATGAAAACCTATAAATATTTATTGAAGTTAAAATAAAACTTACAACCTATAATTCACTATAATGCTGTTAAAGCGATCAAGTTTTTGATCTATGTGCATTCAATACTGAAAACAAATAACGACATATTATTGTCATGTCACATTCTGAATCCCAAGGTTTTTCATTTTACTCACGTCATGCCATGCTTTGTTGGTTGGTTTATTAATATTTTCCAATAATGAATCTTCGCAAAAATGTCAGAGAGACTCATGGAAGACTAGATAGATATGAACACGGATTGATTATCTGGCATCAGTTATTTGTTTCTGCCGAGCTTTCATTTTTTTGAGGTAATGTCATTGTTCATTGCCCTGAAACTTTAAACTATCGGAAATAGACCACTAAATGAAAAAAAAGATTGTTTCGGTAGTTTCCATTCACGTCCTTACGTCTATTTTTACCAATACACACAAACTGAAAATCTAGAGAGACCAGAAACATGAAAACCTATAAATATTTATTGAAGTTCAAATAAAACTTACAACCTACAATTCATTATAATCTTGTTAAAGGGATCAAGTTTTTGATCTATGTGCATTCAATACTGAAAACAAATAACGACATATTATTGTCATGTTACATCCTGAATCCCAAGGTTTTTCATTTTACTCACGTCATGCCATGCCTTATTGGTTGGTTTATTAATATTTTCCAATAATGAATCTTCAAAAAAATGTCAGAGAGACTCACGGACGTCTAGATAGATATGAACACGGATTGATTATATCTGGCATCAGGTATTTGTTGTTGTCGAGCTTTTATTTTTTTGAATTAATGTCATTGTTCATTGCCCTGAAACTTTAAACTATCGGAAATAGACCACTAAATGAAAAAATAGATTGTCTCGGTACTTTCCATTCATGTGCTTACGTCTATTTTTATCAATACACACAAACTGAAAATCTAGAGTGACCAGAAACATGAAAACCTATAAATATTTATTGAAGTTAAAATAAAACTTACAACCTATAATTCATTATAATGTTGTTAAAGCGATCAAGTTTTTGATCTATGTGTATTCAATACTGAAAACAAATAACGACATATTATTGTCATGTTACATCCTGAATCCCAAGGTTTTTCATTTTACTCACGTCATGCCATGCCTTGTTGGTTGGTTTATTAATATTTTCCAATAATGAATCTTCAAAAAAATGTCAGAGAGACTCACGGAAGTCTAGATAGATATGAACACGGATTGATTATATCTGGCATCAGGTATTTGTTGTTGTCGAGCTTTTATTTTTTTGAATTAATGTCATTGTTCATTGCCCTGAAACTTTAAACTATCGGAAATAGACCACTAAATGAAAAAATAGATTGTCTCGGTACTTTCCATTCATGTGCTTACGTCTATTTTTATCAATACACACAAACTGAAAATCTAGAGTGACCAGAAACATGAAAACCTATAAATATTTATTGAAGTTAAAATAAAACTTACAACCTGCAATTTATTATAATGTTGTTAAAGCGATCAAGTGTTTGATCTATGTGTGTTCAATACTGAAAACAAATAACGACATATTATTGTCATGTTACATCCTGAATCCCAGGGTTTTTCATTTCACTCACGTCATGCCATGCTTTGTTGGTTGGTTTGTTAATATTTTCCAATAATGAATCTTAGCAAAAATGTCAGAGAAACTCACGGAAGACTGGATAGATATGAACACGGATAGATTATCTGGCATCAGTTATTTGTTTCTGTCGAGCTTTCGTTTTTTTGAAGTAATGTCATTGTTAATTGCCCTGAAACTTTAAACTATCGGAAATAGACCACCAAATGAAAAAATAGATTGTCTCGGTACTTTCCATTCATGTGCTTACGTCTATTTTTACCAATGCACACAAACTGAAAATCTAGAGTGACCAGAAACATGAAAACCTATAAATATTTTTCGAAGTTAAAATAAAACTTACAACCTACAATTCATTATAATGTTGTTAAAGCGATCAAGTTTTTGATCTATGTGTATTCAATACTGAAAACAAATAACGACATATTATTGTCATGTCACATCCTGAATCCCAAGGTTGTTCATTTTACTCACGTCATGCCATGCTTTGTTGGTTGGTTTATTAATATTTTCCAACAATGAATCTTAGCAAAAATGTCAGAGAGACTCTCGGAAGACTGGATAGATATGAACACGGATTGATTATCTGGCATCAGTTATTTGTTGCTGTCGAGCTTTCATTTTTTTGAAGTAATGTCATTGTTCATTGCCCTGAAACTTTAATCTATAGGAAATAGACCACTAAATGGAAAAATAGATTGTGTCGGTACTTTCCATTCATTTTTACCAATACACACAAACTGAAAATCTGGAGTGACCAGAAACATGAAGACCTATAAACATTTATTGAAGTTAAAATAAAACTTACAACCTACAATTCATTATAATGTTGTTAAAGCGATCAAGTGTTTGATCTATGTGCATTCAATACTGAAGACAAATAACGACATATTATTGTCATGTCACATCCTGAATCCCAAGGTTTTTCATTTTACTCACGTCATGCCATGCTTTGTTGGTTGGTTTATTAATATTTTCCAATACTCCTGCTTGCATCTCGTCTAAACTGGAAATAAATGATGACAAAAACAGAGAGAGAGAGAGAGAGAGAGAGAGAGAGAGAGAGAGAGAGAGAGAGAGAGAGAGATAATGCGCCCATTTCCTGCGCAGTGAATTTAGGCTCCTATCCTCCTATTGCTAGGCTTCATGCTAATGCTCCTGCGAATGCATCTAACTGTTACTTACTTCAGAAATACTCGATTTAAATGTGGTCCCAGCTTCGTTAATTTGAAACTTGGGAGTTGTCTGCTGGCAAACTGAGCTATTTGCTCGTGCCGTGCAGCGCCGTGCATGTTCGCTGATGTATGCGACGACTTTAGGCTAAGCGCATACGTGTTCTTATAGACGCCACAAATTAACTTAGCTGAGGTGCAGGTATGAGGTAATTTGGGTTGCATATCAGCTTAACGTTTATTTGCAGGCGCAGCTCGTGTATACGGGTTAACTTCGCCTGTTTGCGTATGGCTGCTTGAAGTATCCAGTCTAGTCAGCTTGTTCAAAAGACTAAGCATTAATAAAATGTGTGAATCCGTGTGAGGTACTATGATTTACTTAATACGAAATGATTATGTGAAAAAATTATTTGTACTCATGTAACATTTGGAACTTACTCCAAGATTTTCGAGCTGATAGAACTATACGTTATATGTTTTTTTGTCAAATAAAACCGCATGTGTAGAAATTACTCTTTGCTGATAGATGTAATGACTGTATTTTGAAAAAGGTTCGATGATAGTCGAAACGCCAGTAAAGGGTAAAAACACATAGAGTTCTCAGTTTACACAGTCTTGCTTTAGATATGTACACACAAGCTCAGATTGCTTGCCTAACGACATGCGGTTGATATAATAATAAACCGTCTTTTATTAGAAAAAACAAATTACATATAATGCATATATTATTATCTATAATTTGATTAGTGTGCAGCTTAATGGCGAAGTTTAGCTATGGCAGCTATTCTTACACTTAGCCATTAACTGCATAAGAATAATAGATGGTAAAAAAGTACAGCTGTAAAGAAAATAAAAGGAGGAAAATGCCCATGTAACTGATTACAACCTAAATAAAAATTAGCTTAAAAATATAATGCTGGAGAACACCTTTAAGAATCACCATTGAGCAGAAGAGCTCTTAAGTGTTTTTTAAAACTATACAGCGGCAGGCTTTTTGTTCTGTAATCTATGCTATTGTACAACATGCATGCATTATATGAGAAGGACCTGTTAAAAACAGATGAACTATGAAGTGGCATTGTTAAAGCGAATGTGTTACGGATATGTTGTTGATGAACATTATACCTAAAAATTAGTTTTTCACGTAAATAAATTGGAGTTCCAGAGACAAGTAACTTATGTATAAAGGTTAGATAGTTGTATATAACTAAATCTGTCCAGATTCAGATTCAGATTCATTTATTGATCCAGTTAGACCTACATTGTAGACATTGGATAAGTCGGTGTATACAGATTAAAATATAGATAAAAGGAAGTAAAATACAAATAACAATAAGAACATAAAAAACCATATGATACACACATAGCAATAAATTATTTGTTAAGATCTATCAGAAGCACTGTGGAATGTGACAAATTCACCTAGGTCATAAAAACCGCAGTCCGAT